CCACCACAGAGCAAGTGCTCTGACAATTCTGCCTTCCAGAAATGCCATCCTGAAAGCTAATGACATCTTCCTGGGAGTCTTCTCTACCCTTACAGATTTAGAGGTCAACAAAAAGTCCCAGGAAAACCAGCCCTGCTAACCACCACTGATTTCCTCCAGGGGTGACTGCTGAGCAAAACTTCAAACTAATCGCTGTCTGTAAAGATTGAAGCTTTCCTCACGTGTTAGGGAGTGATTTGCCCTGAGTGATGTGAGGTCTAAGTTAGAGAAAGACTTTTCTTTGCAGTAGTTACCCTTTGTACCACATCTCAACCCTTTTTCTCCTTCGTTTGAAAATGTCTGGGGCTGCTTTTCTTCATGTGTTTATGAACACTTTTAATAACCTGCAAAAATCAGTGCCTCTAAGGAAGATTTCATTTTCCTCAGTGCAGCAGGGCACAGCTCTGCCATCTAAAACCCTGTGTTGGCAAAGCAAAACCAAAGCTGAAAGATTTCCACCTACTGCTCCTCTAAATCCTTGTTGATCTGTAGGGAATGGGAGAAGAGAATTGCTCCCTTCAAAGACAGGAGCATTCAGATGAGGAAATTTTAAAGCTGCACGTTTGTTTCAAATGGATCCTATTTAGCTTGACAGTAAAAGAACCACGGGGCTGAATTTTATTAGACATTTGTGCAACAGGCATTAAATGTTTCATGTCAGGAATATATTAAATTCCATCAGGAAAAAAAAGCCACATTCAGAACAGATACAGAAAAGGAGTAGCATTCCTCTGAGATTTTTGTGCACTGAAAACATGAACATTGCAAAAATCAGTGATGAAGGCAATATGGAGGATTTTATCATATTTCCTGCCTTAGCTCTGCTGGATTTTTTTTTTTTTTTTTTTTTTTTTTTGAGGGGCTTGTTGTGGCTTTTTTTGTGGATCTGAGTTTTTGCCTGTTCAGAAAAGCACCTTCAGAGGTGTCAACAATCCCGTCATTAGTTCAGCTCTTGCCATGAACTTGCAGGGCCAAGCCTTCTTGAAAAGCCAGACCCAAGCTAATGCTCTCTGAGTGGCGTTAAAATCAATTTGTAGCATCAGCTCTGAAGAACCAAATCCTCCCATCTTCCCTTTTGCAGCCTCTTTGATTTGGGTATTGTCACGGATTTGTGCTCAGTGAGGGTGAGAATTCTGCCTGTTTGCAGAGAAAGCAGCTCTTGGGCACAATGAAATGATGGAAATGGACCTGACTGAGACAAGATGGGGGGAATTGTGCAGTGTTGCAACTCCCTGATTTGAGCTTGAATTGAAGGAATCTTTTCACTGCAGGTGACTGTGATGTTTGTGCACCCTCAAGTCTGTGAGGAAAAACATTCAACAGAATGGAGGTGCAGGGCAGTTTCTTGCTGTAGTCTTCCCTGTAGTGACACCACCATGTGGTGGGGTTCTCTTCTGCCTGCCACTAATTGATAAATGTTCTCAGGGCAGGATTATTTGGAGGGTTTTGCTCCATATCCTCTTGCAATAGGAAATAAATGTTCCTCAGCACTGAAACAATACGAGTGTGTTCTGACCTGGGGAGTCATAGGCAGGCAGATACACAGATTGCTAATTGCACTGCCCATAATCATCTCCATTTCATAGACAACTTAAACCCTGCTTTCCTCTGCTCCCATCTGGCTCTGTGCATTCCTGCTTCTGCCTTCAGCCACACAGCATTAACTATATTATAGATGCCAGGGTGGAAAAACATCACCCTTGGAAGCATGTGGGGGAGGAATGGTGAACAACTGGCATTAATCATCTTGCAATCAGATTTCCTTGTTGAGATTTTGATAAGTCTTTGGGTAACCAAGCTAACAAGCTGCCAAGTGGTTCTCATCACTTAACTCTGCTGGTTTGTATCCACTCTTCTCAACAGGATTTTCCTTTCAGCAATTAGAGGAGTAATCAGGGGCCAAGGATACAAATTTGTGTGCTGTATGTGGGTGGGAGACCCTTTGTGGGCTTAGCTTTGATATCATGGCATCTTTAGTGACAAATCCAGTGAGAGGGCACTGCAGCCCCTGGGGGGATGTACACATCTGGCATACATCTGTTCCAGGAGTCTCACCTGACAGATCCACAGCAGAGCCAGAAGCACTGTTACTGCTGAGCCTGGCTGCACAGAGCAAAGGCCCAGGGTTTCAAAAGGTCCAGAAGGAAGTGGTGGCTGCCCCATTTCCAGCAGTCTGTAGCCTCAGCCAGGTTACATCCTGAAACAGGAATTTTTGGACAAACACAAGTTCTGAGAGCAGCATGGGAGCAGCCCAGTAAAACAGAAGACCTTTGCCTATGTGGAGTAGCTCTTTTAATCTGGTCCAAACTCTGTGTTAGTAACACCAAAAGAGAAGAAAATGCCTTCCAGGTCTCTAGACAGGAGTTTGCTTTGAATACCTTTCCTGAATCACCAGCAGTGACATGTCTGAAGGGTGATGTGGCATCTTAGCAGGTGCTGAATCACCCAGGATGCTTTCAGCAAGTGGGAAGCCAATGTGACTCATGGTTTAGCTCCAGAAGTTTCTCAAAGCAAAGCTCTTTTGACAGCAGCAGTGTGGTTTTTGTGTTATCCTTTGGTTTATCAGAGGAATTATATCTTAGGTTTGTTATTAATATTTCATTTCACTATCTGGGGCGCTCTGACAGGTTATGACTGTTTGCTCATATTGATGACTCCAAATGCTGCATCTGGACTGGATCATTTTCAGAGGCTCTGTCAAAGATGTGGAACTAGGCCTGGACCATAACCAGGTATAGAGGGGTCTAAATATATTAATCCAATCTCTGTTTCTTTATCCAGAGTAAAGATTTGCCTTCAAGATGGCCTTACAATGTCTGAATAGTGTTCTTTTGCCTGATGTCCCCTCACAATCATTTTATATTTCCTCTTGTTCCATGTACAGTAGCAAGTGCTGACTTCCACTTGTATTTTGGGAGCAACAGGGTCATTTATTACCATGGCCACTGTCCTGAAAAGCTGATAAAAGAGATAAACTAAGGATGGAGTGAGCATTACCTATGCATGGCTGACAAGATGTGGAGCAGGGAGAAGGATAGCTCACATCTGTGCTGAAGCTGCTAATTGGCTGCTGATATCCAGGATTTTGAATTAGATCTTCTCTTCCTTTGCTGTGAGAAGGCTCTTCTGAGTTTTTTTCGATTGGTTTTTTTTTTTTTTTTTTTTTTCTGGCATTTTAGGGATGATAGGCATAGTCTATAAATAGTGTGAGCCATGGAAATTATTCTACCATCCTTCCTAATCTAATGGGTAGCTAAGCATCTATTTTTCAAGCACCCCATAGGACTCTTTTTTTTCCCTTAGGATCCTGATTGACAGGATTTTTCCTCTATCAGTTTTAACAATGGCTTCACTTCTCAATCATATTTCTCCAATTCACTGTCCAAGAAAAAACATGTTCATTGTGCCTGAACTCTTAAATGTCCAGGTTCTGGCTGTGCATTTCAAGGTCAATCTAAAGCTTGAATGCTTTACTTATCTGAATGGGTTTTAGCAGGTTACTTTCATTTACCTGTACCATACTGATGCAGAACAAAACTGAAGAGGAAACCGGGGTGGCAAGTAAATATGCTTCTCCAGTTCCTGGAGAACCGTCAGCTGTGCACAGCTGGCCTCAGGAGAGGCTTCTTAATTTTATGTGGTACTTAAGAATAAACCTCTATTGCTTATTCATCCTCTTAGTCAAGGCAGAATGAAAAGCACATCTGAATTTCTCTCCCCCACACCCCCAATTGCCAACTTCACTTTGTCTTGGCACTCAGTAGATCTTGAAGGAAAGGGCTGAGTGACTGGGTCACACTGAAGCAGTAACAAACCAGATGGCATCTCCATATGTGACAGACCAGGAGGTTTTGAAGCTGTGCATCTGCTTTTAAGAATCAAGTTTAAAATGAATTGACAGTCCTGTCAGATAGGCAGCACAGAGCTGCTCCAGCAGGTGATAAAGCTGCCACGAGGCAGAAGGCTGCTCTGAATTTCCCAATCTGGAGTTTGGGTGCACTCAGATGAAATCTGAATGTGAACAGGAAGATGCAGAGTGGTAGTGACTGGCCAGGCCATTGTCTGAGACATGCCCTGGAATTAAAGTCAGAAATTTGTCTAGCTCTTGCAGAAGTATTTGCAATGTGCCTTCTCTGGAAGTAAAAAACCATTTTTACTTCAGCTGCAATGATAATGTTTTGTCAGCAGAACTCGGCTTGATACTGGATCTTTGTCCACCTCTGACGAAGGGATTTCTGCATTCCTCACAAACCAAATCATTGGGACTGTCACAATTGCATGGACTCTGTAATTAAGAATACTTCGTAGCGTGTCCTCCTTTAGGAACAAGAATGCAGCTCTCTGTGCCCTACATACCCAGCAGAGGCTGTCCTGCTGCCCAGCTGCAGCAGGGCTGCTTCTTGCTAATCAGAAAACCTGAGGCATGTAAAAATAATCACCAATTTCTGCTGCCTGTAAGGATGGATTTGCTTCATTTGGTGCAATGTCTCACACTATCATTGCTTGCTCAGGCAGTTGTACAAGATCCATCTTTAGTTCCCCTTGCCCTGGGATGGAAAATACTTGATCAGGACTTTTTGTTTCTGCTGAAGGCCTACATGGCTTTATCCAAAATCCATCTGTGCATTAGAAGATGAGACACCGGAGCCTGTATGCTTATTTGGACTATTTTCAGTATTTCTATACCCACTCTAGGATAAGGATCTTTATCCTGAGTTTTGTTTTTCTTTTTGGCTGCATAATTCCATGCAAAACATTATAATAAAATCCAGATGCAATCCTGGAATACAGCTTGAAATAATTAGTGGAGAAGGATTTCAAAATTCAGGAACCTGTTGTTTAATTTACTGGAGGAATTTGTTAGGAAAGCCTAATTGTTTGCTCTGTAGCATCACCATCTTTATCTTTTATTGCATAAATATTTAACAGTCCCTTTGTAAAGAAAATGCAAGAGAAAAATCTTATCCTACAACATAAAGAGCTAATAATTTATTTGCCACAGAATTGTTAATACTCTGTGTTTATACACCACTTTAATGCATTTTGTAAATCTTTCAAAAAAAAAAAATTAAAATGCTGTGAGTTCAGGCATTCCTTCCACTGCTGTCTAGCATCAAAGTCTTGGCTCAGCAGGAACAAAACCAAATTTGAACAGAAAACCATACTATGTATATTCTTCCTTTACTACATGTGCCTGTTACACGTGCAACGCTGTGAGGAGCAAGCAAAGCACATGCAAATTGCAGGAGGAACCATGCAAAATAGATTTTTTCCAGCTGAAATATGACATGTCATGATAACTTCCTCAGCACTGGAGCAAAAGGCTGCAGCAAGACCCGGGGAAGCAGGATTTGCTTGCCAAAGCTTGGCATTGCAGTGACACCCAGTGTAGCCCAGGAGAGGTGAAGTGTGCCAAGCTCAGCCCAGCTGTGGGATTGGGAATTTCTGCCCTTCCAGCTTCCCCCTGCAGGGAGCTGGCAATGCTCTGCTCCTTGGTTCTGGGTAGAAACTGCCATCAAATTCAGATTCTCACATCCTGTAAACAAAATTCAGCTTTTTAGAAGTTTTCCAGATGTTGGATTCCATCTCCCATCATGGCACCAAGGGGATAAAAGTTTGCTTTATTTCTTACAAATAAGCTCAACGTATTCCTATCTTAACTATAGGCTTAATTGGAAGGAAAAATCATCAATATGTAGGATAATAAAAGCACACAGATAATTAAAATAATAAAACTCCAAAGATAATGAAAACAATTAAACTGCATGACATAAGGATTTGGAATAATCTTTAGTAGATCTGGAATTTTGATTATAGTGAAATTGTCTCTGACCTCAGAGTTGAATAAGAGCAAAAAACCATTTAAGACTAAAAATGGCAGAGCTGAGCATTTCCCTTCTTATTCTTCTGGACTGGGAAAGTCTGTTTATCTGAAAAAAGTTAATTTTCTTCAGGATCAGTGGTGATCATCTACTTTCCCTTTTTATAATGCAGGCAGTAGTGTCACCCACAGCCCCAGTTTGAAGAGCTGTAATTTTTCATGAGAGATCCACCTGGTAACACAAGTTAAATTTCAAAGGACAACAGAGATCTTTTGAGCTATGAGTCTTTTTCTTAGCCAGAATTGTTTCCATTTAACAAAATAGAGGCATTGGGCTCATCTCTCACCTCCCTTGCTTCCTGTTCATGGTGCATTGTGATGATCAGCTCTAGGCACTGTCCTGTCTGTGCTTCTTCAGCCCCTTTCCCATTGATCCAGAGCACCACTCTGGTGAAATCACCGACACCATTTCGTGCTGTGGAGCATCTCCCCGTGGTTTCCATCAGATGGGCTTGGTGGCCCACTTGAGCTTGGTTCCTCCCCATTGTTTCAGGCTTCTGGTGCACCCAATTCTGTGAATGTTTCCTCTGGGTTGAGGTCATCATCTCACAATGTTATGTAATTCCACCTACAGTATAACACTTATTTATTTATTTTTTAGCTGATTGAGTTTTGTTTTGGTTTTTGTTTGGTTGGTTTGTTTGTGGTTTTGTTGGGTTTGATTGTTTTTGTTTGTTTGTTTTTAATTTCACCTAGGTGAAAACAACACCAGTGTGGACATGCTGAGATGTGCTGGTAGAAAAGAAACTATTATCATTCCTAAAGAGGAAAAGTAAAATACTTATTCTGTGCAACAGCTTTCTCAGCCAGGGCTCCTGCTGGGTTTATGTTGTTTTGTTGTTGTTGTTCCCCCACTTTCATTAAAGCTGCTACCATCTCTTACTTCTGAAAAAAATAAACTTGGATATTTTAGATTAGGCAGTGGCAAACCATCCCTGGAACTCTGAGCAGCCACTGCTGCATGTGGCTGTGTACTGGGACCTGCAAAAACAAGAGGGTGACATCTCAGATGGAGCCATGGCACTGTCACCTTTACTCTGAAATTGAGAAAGAGGAAAACTCTACAGACAGGAAAGCAAGTCAGGAAAGGTTTTTAATGCAGTGCCAGTGAAAAACAGAAGAGTGAACAAGAAAAGCAGAGGACACTCAATAGCACAGCTATGAGAAAAGTAAAATTATGCCCAAATCCCACTTGGGGATGAAATGTTAACCAGGGGAAGTGGAAGCAAAACAGGATTGTGTGACTTAGTGAGAGTTCTTGGGCAGGAGCAAAATATCTGTGACTGCTGGTCTTACAAAATCTTAAAAAAGATTTTATTTGATTTTTTTCTCTCTTTTGGTTAAAAGACAGCTTCCCTGACAGAAAGAAGCACTGCTTTTCACTGAGAATTACTTGAGGATTTGTGGCTGTGGAACAATGGATCGATATTTGTTTGCTAAAAGCTTCAGTTAAAGTGGGACAAGAGGAGATTAGCCCGATGATCTGCTGGTTGTCCATGGCTATAGATTTCTCAGTGGTAGCTGGAGAGGTTTATCTTGCCCCCCCTGTTCAGAACTGAGCAGTGATCTGGGACAGATCACAGGAATTAGAAATAAAAGCTGTGGATGCCACAGGTGCAATGGCAAAGAAGGATTTCTCCAAGGGAGCAGTGTGGGCACCTCAGAACCTCTTTGTGCCCTGGACAAACTGTCCATCCATCAGTCTCCCTTTGCATCAAAAGCAGCCTGAGCAGGCAGAGGTTATGGGCTTAGAGTGAGGTTAATCAGACTTTGGCTTTATAATTGCTGTGCAGAGATGCCACAGAAACAATGAAGAAGGCTCAGTCTTAAAACGGTGCATTTTATTTTCTTTTTGTGGCTGAACCCTTGTGCCCAAAACAGAGCTGGGTTTTCTCTCAGCTGTTTTTGCCCAGATGCTAAATACCAGCTCTAGGGGTTTGACAAATTGACACTTGCTACAAATTGCTCAAAGATCCACTAAAATCAGGAAGGCTTGGGCTGAACGCAGAGGTTTAACCTCGTGGCTCAGACTGTGGAGATAAGGCAGGATGTGATTTCCTCTGAGATTCAGGAGTGTTCAGGTTGGAGTGAACCACACAGTGTTTTTAATCTGAGTTTTTCAATGCCATACAGTTAGGTCATTTTTATACCAGTTGGATTTGTTCCAGTATTTGTTTGTATTTCAGCAGGGAATGGCAGGATGTAATGTGGGTTTTTTTCAGTGACATGGATGTATTAACCAGAAGTGTCTAATTATCTTTATTGATTAACCTTATCTTATAAAGAAGTAGTCACTCAGTAAAACAGTCCATATCCTGTACACTGCAGAAAGAGAAAATGATTAATTTACTCCCTGGATTGTACTGCTTTGTATGCTGTGAGAGTAAGTGATGGATAAAGGACAGCCTGCACTGTCTTGGGTCAGAACAGTAGGTCAGAGTCATTATTTACCTTTTGAATACAGAGTGAGAATTTCCTCTTTTTGCAAATCATGATCCCAATTCACTTGTGTACAGGGAGAGGCAGAAGTGGGACACACACCTGTGTTCTGCATAGATCTGTGTATTTATAGAGCTGCACTTAGAGCAGGCCTGAAGGAGATGTGCAGGAAGCAGGACCTGGGATTTCTGAGATGAATTAGAAAAGCTTTCTGTTAAAAGTCTATAGAGCTTTACTGTTCATTTCTTTCAAATTTTCAAACTGTCTTCCTCTGTGATGCCAAAGTTCATTTTTGCTTACTTTTTTATGTCAGCCAGTAACACTTTGCTTTCTTCCTTGTGATCCACCATTTTTAGTCTGATAATATGGTTGGAGCTCTTGCTTTGGTCTGTAAGTCTTTAGTGCAGTAAGATCCTGATGTGTTGGGAAGGATCCTAAATGCAGATTAATGACACAACCTGACCTTTATCTAAGTTTATGTATGGTGTGTGTATGGGTCTGCATGGTGTGTGGGTACATCATGGTTTCTGGAAATGCCTTACAAACATCAGGCAGGAATGCTCATCCTGCATTGCAATTATTAGTATATTGCTCTATTTATTGCAATGGAAACTAAATTATATAAGTAATAACCAAAAAAATCCCAGGAACAAAAATGTTAATCCAAGAATTTTCTGTCAGTGCCTTGTGGGTCAAGAGAGCTGAAGGTTTCACAGCATTCATCGCTGTGTTTTTCAGCTTCCCTGTTGGTTTGTCTTCTTATCCAGTGTGTCTCAGGTTTAGTTTCATTATCTGCAAAACTGAGATTCTCTTCTAGGCATTCCCTGTTCTCAGGTTTCCTCCTACCTTTTGTGATCCTGTTTTTGTCCTAGAGGCAGTCTTACTCCTGTTGATGTCTGGAATGGAGTCATCTTCTTCCTTTGTTATTTTGCCTCCTTTGCTCATGAGGGAGAGCTTCCTCTCCTGCAGCCCATCAAACCAGGCCCCTCCACTGTGAAAATCAGATTTTCTCCTGCTGCCATCTCTCTCCTATTCCCAAATCCCTGCTCCCTTTCCCTTCAGCAGGATGTACTGCAACCACTGTCACTAAAAGTGCTGCATTCCCCTTCATGCTGAACCAGCTTCCCACCCTCTCCTGTGTCTGTAATCACTCACCTCCTTCCAAAGGAGCTCTGCTGTCCTTTGCTGCCCAGAAAAACGGGCTCCCCTTCATCTCTGGCGCTCTGAGTGTTCCCACAGCATCCCAAATCATCCTGAGGGGTACTGAATACATTCATCCCTATCCTCCTGAAAAGACTGGATGAAATCATCTTCTGATGAGTCAGATGCTTCTTGCTATTGGTAACACAAATGTAACTGAGTCAATTTTGCCTTTGAGTACTTTAACTTTTTTTACATCCCACTTAATATGCTGACATTTTGACTTATGCCATACTTAAAAAAAAAAAATCAAAAAACAACCTAGTGATTTTAGGTGGGTTTTTAGGGTTTTTGAGGATACTGCTCAACAGTGATTTTCTGTATTCTGGGAGCTGATGATTTTGGATGTGTTCAGAGAGTTGCCTGTCCTTACAGTAAACCTGATGCCTGCTTCTGTCTGTTGTCCAGAGTACCTATTTTTGTCTCTAAAGGACATGAACTCAGTGCTCAGAAATACATCTCCTCCTCGATGTAACCCTGTCTTTTATGATTTCTAGCAGAGTCCTACTCATATGTTTTTAATTTAATTTTTGCATTATGTTTATTTCAATTACACAAGTATAAGGTCATGAGATTGAATGACAAAGTAATAAAAGGGCATTTGCATTTATCACAGATTCTGAATCCTGCACAGAACTGTTTATCTGTCAGTCAGATCTCGTTTGCCCTGCTGACATGAGCAGTAGCACTCTTGTGGCCAAAGAAGAGTAGGAATTTTCCTTCTATGGGGAGAAAAGCAAACCTGAGCAGCAGTGCAGATAGAATATTCTGTTGGTTTGAAGTCTTCTGGTCATGAAAGGCAGCTGGGGTTTGTACTTCAGACATTAAAAGGGAGAGGTTTTTTAGATTTCATCTTCTGTTTTCCAAATTTAACCTACAACATTTATTTTAGATGATTGTATCACACGGTATAAAGTAAACTTGTGCTAGATTAAAAGCCATTTTATGGAGTTTACACTTTGCTGGTTTTACAGAGTAGCATAAAACATAAAGGTATCTTGGGATTTTTTGTTCCTCCACAAGAAATGGAGGATGTTTTGCTAGCTGCTTGGAAATGGAATACCAGAATGTGTGTTAGTAGAAAATAACCATTTTGATCATGTTAATGCTGCTCTGTGGGGCAAATTCTGTCTCATGAGGGCAACCTTAAATTTTTCTAGTACTGAAATAATTATGTTCAATTACAATTTGTAATCCAGGGTTTAATTTAATCCACAGATAAAACGTGTGCTTTGTCTTCATCTTCACTATCCAGCTGTTAAATGGTACAGAAGGGAAGCATTTATCACTGAGAAAATTTGTGGTTTAGAAGTTTGTGTTATAGCTTTGCTTCCATCAAGTTCTGTAAAACAAGGGCATTCATTAGTGGGCCTTGTCAGGAGTGTGACTGGATAATCAACACACACACAGGTTTTTCTTTCCACATTTTTCCAAAGGCACTCAGGATGGGGAGGTGCCTGGGGCGCTTCATCCTCAGGCTTGGGCTGATCTGTGTCCATGCAGCAGCTGGAGCAGCTGATCCTGTTTCCTCAGGATCCTTTTGTTGGCCTGAGGAAATGTGCAGTGGGGAAATGTCAGGCTGAAAACTATATTGTGGAGAGGTATGGTTAAAAAAAACACGTAAGTGATCTTTGGGGGAAATGTGAGACCTGGAATGGTGTGAGCTGTGTTTCAGGGTAACCCATGAGTGGCATTTACAAAGCAGAAATCTCTAAGTTGTTTCTAAAATAAATAAATGTGGTTGCAGAGCTACAAGGGCACGTTTGGCAAAAGGCAATACCTTGTAGTGTCTTTATTTTGTACCTAATAAAGACTAGGACTGGAGTGTGGGGTTAGACTGGGACACACAGGCAGCAGGCTGAGTTCCTCCCTCTGATATGACCTGCATTCCTTCGTGAATTTTGCTGTTCAGCTTGATGAACTTCTGCAGTTTTTCTATTACACAGGACAAAGCATCACTATTGATTTTTACAGCCTGATGAATTTTATTTCTGTTCTCTTGCAAAATCAGCACAAAGGGGGGAAATCACAAATCATTGCACATAACTATGGAAAATTTTCCAGCTTAATGAAAGCTTTGTCCTTACGTCTGAAATTTTAAAAAGCACGTGTGCTGCTATTTTTTTTTTTTCCCCTCTGGCAACATCATTGTTTTAAAACAAACTGGTTGCTAGTTTGGCCACTTGCTGTGTGGAAAATCAAACTGTCATGAGAGCTATTGTGTGTGCTTTTCATCTGATGAGGGGAATGTGAACACGCAGCTCTGGCTGAGTGGGCTGAAGGAGAAGTTATTGAGCACAACCACTCTGGGTTCCTTCCTCCAGTGAACCTGCAGACATCAACCCTGAAGTCAGAGCACTGAATTCTCCTCGTGAAATTAAGTCAGCAGGAGCTTTGTTTTTCAGAAATCTCAAAACCACATCAATTAGGAGAGGCTCTTGCTAACAATAACACCTTTGCCTGGGAAAGCTTGGGGAAGGCTGACTCGAGCATTTCACTGGTTAGGGAGAAACCTTTTCCCTGCTTCATACTGTGATGGCATAAATATATCAGGTATTCAAGAGCAATATAGCCACAGGAAAGAGTTTTTCCCTCTTTCTCCTAGACTATAGACCTATTTTTGAGGTGGATTTAAAGACAAGAGGAAAAACTTTTCCAAACTATAAATTAATGGCTCAAATATTTCTAAATGAAATTGGAACAGCGTCTGTGGTGTTTTATTATCTTTTGCCATACAGAGCTGTCTTTGAAAGGGGAAAAAGCTTAGTAAAAAGTAATTTCAGAGCCTTGACTGCTTTTTGATTACAATTTGGGATTACTGTTTTAATCACTGCTTATCAAGTAATACCACAAACCTCAGAGCATGACCATCTTTCTCAGGGGAAGCCAGATTTAAAAGCCAATTTCCAGCAATCCTTCCTCTTTCTTCCAAACTCCTCTAACAAATATGGAGGGATAATAATCTGTGATATTACAAGAGACCCTAAGCAACACATGAAATTCTCTGTGTTCTCAGATTCCTTCTGAGTTGTCCTTATTAGCTGGAGAAGAGGAAATACTGGTATAAATCTGAGCCAGCTCTTGTTCCAAGGCAGCCTCCACTGGAGTGCAGGATCTCACCCTTTCCCAGGCAGATGACAAATTTTACACACACAAACGTGTCCAGCTGGAGCATGAGCACGTTTTCAGGGCAGGTCTGAAATGTGTGCCTTGTGTGCAAAGCACTGCTGCAAAACAGCTTCATGCACCAACCAAAGCCCTTGCAAAGATGTGGATGAGCAGCCATGAGAGATACTGGAGCTAAAAGCTGGATTTTAACTTAAAGTTAGTGATATTGTATGGTTTTCCCATGGCTGGAGATGGGTGAAGCAGAGTGAAAGAAGAGGGAGTCTGTGGGAGTTTAGGGCATCCCTCTGGCTGACCTAGAAAGCCTAAGACCCTGGCAGGGGGTCAAGAACCCCCCTGGACAGAGCCCCCAGAGACACTGTCTGTGATCTCTGTCCATGGAAAAGAGTTTTCAGTCTTACAGGATGAATTACAACCTCTGAATGTTTGATATAAGTAATAATTAAGTGTGGCACGGGTGCAAAAGTAAAATTTTAGGTTTCTAGATTAGGGGTTCAAAGGGGACAAGATGGAGGAAACTGGGTGTGCCTTGTCCTTTTCCTCCTTCTTCATGCCCTCCATGTTTCACTGTGGTGTTGGCATTTTTCTGTTGGTTCAGGCTGGGGACACACTGTCCAACGTAGGTGACAGATATTGGCACGTTATTGTAAATCCAGCACAGGTAGTTTCTGGTATTTAATGTTTGTACCATCCCACTGAGGGCAGAGCCCCACACGCTGCCCTGCAGGACAGAGCTGCGGCAGGGCAGCAGAACATGTTAGAGATAAACAGAATAAACCACCTTGAAACCAGCACAAATGAATTATGGCTTCTTCTTTGGCAGCGGGGCTGACAAAGACTTTCTACAATCTCAAAATCATCTAAATACCACAAATTCCAACAGGAGTCCTTTCTTTCTGCAGTGCATTGGGTGTCTGCAAGGGGAAAGACCCCTCTGTAAAATTCAAGAGGACCTGAAGTGGCCAAGATCAACTCTGGAGCTGCTCTCTTGTGTTTTCCCTGTGACTTTGTCTCACAGTGGAGCACCATGAGCCTCTCTGCAGGATCCCTGGTATGTCTTAGTTCCTCCAGATAAATATTGCTGCTCTTTCTAAAAGAGAAGACAAAGCCTCCCTCCTCCCTCCAGAAAACTTGCATCTAATGAAGGTAATCAGATTCGTCCTGGCCACAATTAACTTTTCTCGGAGTTATTCAGATGCTGCTCAGTGATGCTGGGGATGGAAGAGGACCAGTGGATCTTTAAATTTCTTCTCTGTAGAGAGCAGATTGTGACCTGATGGCAGATGATGCATTTTTTATGTGTTGCCTTTGCCATAAGGTTTGGAATGTGCTGCTGCCTGCTAAGGGGCCTCCAGAGCTGGTTCTGTGCAAGAGATAATTTACATGTGGTACAGGAGCTTTTAGACAGTGTTTGGGGGTGTGTGATGGCTGAGGAAGGCAGTGCTCACTCCCAGGCTGGTGTTCCTGTGAAAAGAGCACTTATAACCAAATCACTGCTTTTGTTTGTTTGGGTTTTGGTGTGTTTTATCCACAAAGAGAGTTTTGAGCAAAGCACTGAGTAGTGCTAATGAACTGATAAATGGCTGGAAGGGATAAATTGGTGTACATCCATCTTCCTGGAGTAACAGAGCTCCCACTGCCACTGTGCACATCCAGATTTTACCTACAAGTGGCCAGCAGTGTTCTATGAGTCAGAGCAGAAACAATTACAAAATCTCCACAAAATATTCTTTCAAAAGGAAGTGAACTCCTTTACCTGCGTGTCATCAGTCTCAGTAAATCTGGCAGGGAATTATAATCTGTAAATCCTGAGCTTGTCTGTGTGGTAGCCCACTGAGATGTCTTTGGTACAGAAGCCCAGCATTCTATCCCTGCTTGATTCTGCTTGTAAAATTAACATTATCTTCATCTGCTTTTTCTGCCAGCCTAAATCAATGTGCCAGCCAGCTCTAAAAATATAAAAAACAAAACCCTCCACCCTGTTGAGAAAATACATCAAT